TAACGTTTCTTCTTTTAAACTAAAAGCATGTTAATATTATAGTTCGTAAATTATAAGCAAATCAAGCTGAAATCAAGTTATTCCGCTTTGTAAAATCTGTCAATAAATTATATAGAAATTAGATAATTTATCATAAATCGATTGCGGATGTTTATGCAGAAAACGAAGCCTAAAAATATCTACCACATAACTGCAAACAAAATGTATACAAATTTATTCATTTATTCATTTTGCTCATAGTTACATATTTTTAGGCTTCGTGTTCTGCATAAAGATCTGAAGGACATATGTCCTAATCTAAAGTCTAATAGTCTTTAGTAACTGCCATTTTTCAGTCGTTCGTTGAACTCGCCAAAAGCGCATGCTCCAATGCGGTGAACGCTGCCTTGCTTGCAACCCCCAATGAACTTGGAAAACTCTACTTATATATATGTATACTACTCAGTTATATTTTTAATGAAGTTGGTTCATTACCTGCATAAGAGTTGTGATTCGTCGATAATTCGAAAAAATCCGACTTAATTTCACCTCATCAATGAACAGCTCAGACAAATATACGTACGTAATATGTGTATGCATGTATTTATGCAAGTAGAAAAATGTCATTGCTGAATAGCAGACGAATGCAATGTGATCGACAATTTCGAAATTAAAGCACGTACAAAGCTGGTATGTATGTTGTATTTGAAAAACCATAGTTGTTGTTGTTTGGCTGTACTGCCAAGGAAATTTCTCTTTTTGAGGCAAGCAAACAAAGCCATTATTTTTGAGATGTATGCATGCAAATAGAGTAGCATAAGCGTAAAAAATCAAATACCAAAGAAAAATACAAACATATCTGTGCCGTTCAATTAAAGTAGCCTAACTCGGGATAGGCCCTTTTACCTTAAAAAGTAACATTTTATTGCGTGCCCCAAATAATATTTAACGTTTAACTAGCCATAGGTGTAATTCAGGATGGCCTTTTAATAGAAGTTTAAAAAAATATAAAAAATTTTCTAGGGAAACTGACTATTTTTTAATTCAAAGTCAAACCTTCTAAAGTCACTTAAGCTACTTTAATTGAACGGCAGAGATATGTATGTATGCACTTAAGTAAATTTTTTCTTTTTATTTACTTACTATATTTTTTTTTTTATTAGTGGCAGCTGCCATTTATGCAAATGTTAGCCAATACTACGTGCTCGACACCAAAAAGGCCTCAGACGTTAGACAAGCAGGTGAATACGAATAAATACAAACATATTTATGTATGCACCCAGAGTATAGCACTTTAGTCATTGCCAATCAGGCAAACATTTTGATTTACATACGCATATACATACATATGTATGTAGTATGACCACGTTAGCAGTAAAAGGCATGATAGCGCACTTTTGTGGTGTTTGCGCGTCATTTTCCTTTATTTTTGGTTGTTTGCGTGTTTACAAAAAAAAAACAAAAAACAAAGAAGTAAATCAGTACATATGAACGCAACGAAAAAATCACAAGCGTGTTGAGTAAATGCAAAATGTCTGTTGTACGAATGTGTACAGGTTATGGCGGTAAACATTTGCTAAAATGCAATCCACGCATGCGCACGCAATTTGGTAAACAGCTATAGCTGTTAGTTATTTGTTTTTTGATTCGCCGTTTTTTGTTTGATTTGAAATTTATAGCACTTTTCAAGCCGATTTCTACATTTGAAACTAGATTTGCTGTAAAATTTGTTTTTACTTACTAACAGAATATTTTAATACATATAAATTTACGCAATAAACAGTTTTACTTCGTTGAATTTTATTTATTTTTTAATTTAGCCTTTAGCTTACCGCTAAGCTCCATCGAATTTGGCCATTCACTTCCACCACATTCATGTTAAGCACCAAACTTGTAATTATTTCAACATCAATTAATTATAGCCAAAATTAGGTATAAAGTGTCGTAATGACAGGTGTAACACTGTGTGAGTGTTTGTGTGCGTACGAGTTTTATGCTGCACTAAGTATGTCTATGCAAATATATGTAATTTACTTAATTTAACCCAGGAAAAAAA